TTGAAATTTTCTGTATATTGCTGTAATCTGTTCATTTCTATCAGAGATAATGCATACGCCACCTGGTTGACCTTACCTTAGACATCTCGAACAATAACGGTGGTTCCAGCCTGCAGGTATTGGTGATCCACTGCTTCTAGAAACAGAGGCTCGTTAAGCGAAAACTTCTTCCATTCCATCCAAAACCATTTGAACCATTTAAACCTCTTACATGAAATCAAGGTTTCGGATCTCTCAAGGAGAATATTTATCTATTTTAGCTTTGTGATTGTTGCCGTATGCCAGAGAGAGTAGACCGGTGTATATATTTTGCCGGCAATCCATCAGTATATTAGAGATATTGCTCACACATCATAGGGCATTCCAGTAAGCAACTATAAGATTAGACACAGATTCTGTTAGGGTGGGGATTTCACGTGTAAATCAACTGACTGTAGTGACGCGCCATGATAGATGAGATAGGTTGTAAGAAGGTAAGTTTGCAACAATCCGTCTCGTTTGTTAATGTATACTAAGGCTCGAGTCTGTAGGTACTTCAAGAAATGAAAAATGTGTGTCCTGTATTACTTCCAAGTGTCGCTCACTACATATGAACTAGATGCTAAGAGGCTTGTCTTTCCTAGATTTCTTACGAATTTATCAACAAATGATTCCGTTAGCAATAGAATATTAAGCAAACATTTACACCACGATTTCATTTATAACTCCCACATTGACAATGCTGAGCTGCATTCCCTGTCAATTTTTCTTATTAAACGGTGAATTATAAGCGGTGGAAGTGGTTGTTAGATTAAAGTGAACGTCCAGTCTGTTTTTTTAGAAAACTTCCGGAAGATGATGTTAGAGTGGCCTTTTGTATTTAGTTCCACATGACTACGATTCTGACTACAAAATAGTTTGCAAGATATGTGAGAGTTCAGTACTCTTACATTCTGAATAAACAAATAGTATTGGATTAAGTTAAATGTATAGAATAATCAGATGAACAATTTACATGTCTTTGAGCAAAGATGAATTAACATGACCGTGATTTGCTAATATGTTCATGAATACTGGTCAAAGATAAGGCCATCTATTACAATTTGTGCAAAGCATAGTACGTGCTTAATACCGTATTATACATTTTTTATCCTTCGATTACTGTTTATGTATTCTGATGTATTTGCGTCTCGTTTTACGAGAAGATATGCAAGCAGAGTTAGTGTATGGTAGACTAAATTTTCCAGTCGTTAAAAGATTTTTGATATTTGTTCACAGCTGGCTGCATTTAAATGACGTAGAACAGGCCTCCTCCAGGACTGTATACTGCCCTTTTCCAGGAAGTAACAACACAGGCACTTGTTTATCCAGCCATCGATGTTATCGTCGAGGACATTGTTCAGTGGCAGTAATCTTGAAATATAGTCAAAGTCAGACGCATAGTCTACAAATACACACCAATTATACCTATCACCTTCAGCCAAAATAAACGCCACTTTATGATATATGACTGCAGCAGCATCCGAGGTGCTTGTCCTATATTTGTAAGCGAACTGTTGGCCAAGGTCACTACTATCTTACGTGTAATTTATTAATGAAATGAATTAGTGATGCGTCATGGCGATGAAGAATATAATAAATATGATGCACCACTGTCATATCCTACCGATTCCGCCTGTGATGTGCAAGTTCTAAGTTCTCAAATCTAACTCCAAGGAGCTTGTTACACTTTAAAGTACACATAATTTCATACTGATCGTTTTCCAATTTCGAGCACACTAATGGAAGTGGAAAAATTGAGTAACTTTACTTATTTAACTGACGTGCTTCATTTTTTCCTTCAAGTACTAGAACTATTTTGATAAAACTGAATTGTATGACAGTCATGTATACTAAACTAAACAGGTGTCCTCATTATCGTTTCATTTGAACAGACATGCAATTTAAAGTAGATGGTTATAGATAACTAAGTCTTTAAACCACAAAAACAAATTATAAGCCAACAAGACTTATCTAACACAGGCCGATGGCGACAGTCTTTTAGGCATCATAACAGTTTACAGAACAACAAAACTTTCTTCAGTGACATTAATCGTTTACGCTCTATTTCAAAACAACCACGGCTTTTATTGAGCTTTTTATGACTTTGGATACCATTCCAGCACGTAATGTATATCCGGCGTAATACAGTTCTATATAGTGAGTAAAAATTTGAGCCATGACTGAACTCACAATACAATCTACTTTTTTATAAAAAAAGCACATTACGTTGTGAGACAAACTTATTGATTACATGGCCGTTATTCTGACCCAGGATACACCAAGTTGGTGTGACAACGATGAGTATGTTTCCATCCCAATAATCGATTGATCATAGAGCGGAATTCGCAACTGCACTCTGAAGTTACGTTTCGCGGCATATTCCTGGAGTTCAAGTATGGAAGTTCGAAAATTCTAATTATTATGTTCTACTATTTTATAGAACATTGATCCCTCAGTGTATCCGAAACTGGCACAGTTAACATAAATGAGTAATAAACCCTTGGGAGTCTCATATGATAATCAAACTGATCATTTCAAAAAAGCCAGATCTTAAGTGATTCATAAGTATTTTCACCGATAAATGTCAGTTTCATCACTTTCAATATCGTTTGTGGTCACATTTCGAAATTCAGATCGGTTCATGAAACTTTCAAAAGCTTTCTACTACAATTAGTTTCTGTTCATTTTAATACTGACTCCATGAGAATGGTTGCATGATAACTAGAGGTAGTTAAACTTAGCAAGTTGACTAGTATTCCCTAGGATTTTCCATTTTCTACTTTGACAATCTCATATGGACCACCGTCCAAGTCAGAGTTCTCCGTCGGAAAATCTTAAGGAATTGAGAGTGGAGTAAAATAAAAATTTATTTTACACAGGAATTATCAATCAACACAAACACATCACCTCTGTTCGTGTTGTTTTCATTACCTTGATCATCCTCCCAGATACCTTTGTTCTTGTTTTACGCCCACATTCTTATTATTTACTTCGTTCTACTCTGGTTTGTTCTTTTACTTACCATACCACGGTTATTACTGGAAACCAAACTAATGATCGTCAGTTTGGAAGATGGTAGTTTCGTCAAGTTATTCAACATAGGATAATCTCAAACTTCACCAGCCTCCAACAGCTCGAATTCCTCAGGGTTATTGGAATCTTGTGTCTAAGCTAAGCTTATTGTAGAATAATGAAGACCTGTAACTGTTTCCTTATGGCAGGATGCCAGTAGAAATAAATCACTTTGTTCAAATGATCTCATCACGAAATTATCAATTCTAAGATTCCTATATTAGTACACCTAATATTCATGAGTATTCAAGTACTGGGATTCGATATAAACTGAGATAGTAGACGAAAAATCTCAGATTTCCTTCAAGAGACTTCGTGTACTTTGAGAGATTTGTGTCGTTGGTGAGGAGCGGGGAAAATAGAAAACCTAAAACATTCTCAAGGACTTGTGACGTTAGTTTATTGTTATTCTCTAACCTTCACGTCCCGCTTGTCAAACATACCCAGGCCCCCAATTGAAGGCATCAGTGATCCACTGTTACTAGACCCAGAACCCTGTTAAGCAAAAGCTTATATTGTGTGAATACTCATTTACACAATTATTATAAAGGATACTCCTCTCATCGAAGAAGAAGAGTCGATGAACGAACAACATAGTTCCATGAAAAATGACTCCCTTAACCAAGCGTAAGATCGAAAGTATAAACAATTCATGGTTTTGCTCAATAAATTTCGAAAGTTTAAACTCTTGGTGACAATGGAGGTGGTTACTTCGCCAAAAATCAAATTCTGTTCCATGGTCCATCTAGGCGGTGTGCCTAAAGGACCACCTTCGCTATCCCGTCATTTTTAATGTCCTAGTGGGGTCCCCCAGGGCTCAGTACTAGGGCCTCTTCTCTTCTTGATCTACATAAATGATCTTCCTCAACAGGTGACGTCAGATTTATTACTTTTTGCCGACGACGTGAAACTTTGGAGAGAGATACGCAACCAAGACGATACACAGGCACTTCAGGGTGATCTGACGCGACTTCAAAGTTGGGCAGACGATAACGGACTTACCTTTAACACTTCAAGGTGTAAAGTAGTCCATCTGCGACATGTAGCAAACTACAGTTACAACTTAGGAAACTCCTCTCTAGTAGTATCCCAAGTCGAAAAAGATTTAGGAGTCCTGGTACCCCATGACTTAAAGTCTTACGCTAACTGTGACAAAAGTGCCTTCCGAGCAAACCTTGCACTGGTAACGTTGAAGCGCATTTTTGGACAGTTTGACGGACGAACTTTCCACACAATCTTCAATAGTTTTATCCGTCCCCATTTAGAGTACGGAAACATAGTACTCCCTCCCTCACTCCAGAAGGACAAGGTCACTTTGGAGCGTATCCAACGGCGAGCCACGAAATCAGTTCGAGGACTCAAATCTAAGCCTTACGAAGAACGCCTCCGTTCACTAGACCTTTACCCACTAGAATATAGGCGTCTTAGAGGTGATTTACTAATGGCTTACAGTATTCTTAACACTTCTGGACATCCTCTTAAACACCTACTTAAGCTTAGTTCGAATAATAACCTAAGGGGTAACACCCAGAAACTGGAAACACAACATAGCAAGACGGAATGTAGACACAACTTCTACTCCTTAAGAGTTGTCAAAAGCTGGAATTCGCTGCCGGCCGAGCTAGTCCAAGCGACTTCTCAGGAGTCCTTCAAGAGGCAACTTGACCTATTCTTAAGGACCAAGGACAGCATCACATTATGATTTATCGATTTCTTTTCCTTTTTATTGTTAACATACCTAGGTTCCTGCCTGGAGGATTTGGTGATCCCCTGCTACTAGAAACGGAAGCCTGTTAAGCGAAAGCTTCTTCTATTCCGTCCACAACCATTTGAACCATTTGAACCATTTGACCTTCTGGGTTGATTACAGATTTGTTTTTAAAGGTCACGACTCAGGGAATCACGTTATGCAGACTGACCGTACTTTTTTGGATCTGTTCTGGGGATTATCAGCTAGAGATGAAAACCAAAGAATAGAAGCCTCCAACAAGCTGGTAGATTTGTTAAGTAGTAAAACGGATGAAGTAGGTTAATCCAAACAAATTAACTAGACTAGGTGAAAACCACTTACTTCACGTATACAAGGCAAAGGCTCGTTAAAGGCCTAAAGTCGTTTGATGAGTCTACGAGGTCTAGCTATGAGCACTGTCTTATACGTTACCTCAAAGATTTTCCAACAGAAACCTCAACCAAAGAACTAGCGGAATCTATGAGTGTTCAAGTTTTTGCCTCAGAGCCGTCCACTCAAAATGTAGATAGCAAATATTTCGTTAATATGAAATCCAGGAACGTTCGTCTGTGAAATCAGCGTACTTAGCATGCGCAAGAGTACTTTGTGCATCTGGCAGAATAAAGGAGGTACGTTGTGTTAGTCGCCACTAAAAACAGATTGATGAAGAGTTCGCTAAAGTATTGCTTCAACCTATTATCCTGTTGACAAAATCCACTCATCATAGAGCTGCCGCATATTTAGCAATATCGGAAATGAGTCTTCAAGTAGTGTTTGTGTTGTTAATGCACATTTATTAGGCACCTAAACATTTAATCGCGAAATTGAGTTGTTTTTTGAAAGAAACATGGCAAAACCTCATGTCTTCAAACTCGGATATCACCGGAGAACTCTTGCTTGTCATTCTGTCATTTCAGCATCGCTTTCAGGTACTGAATCCATAAATATGACTGTACTTTCAGAAACGTCTTCAAAAGCTAGATATTCCAGCATTCAAATTATCTGAGAAACAGTATCGTAGGAAGCTCTTATTTGGAATTCTTGTAAGAACCTTTCGTGTTAACTTTATTTAGCAAGCATTCTCACGATGCCATTGTGATGCGGTTAATCGATGAAGTTTTAAAGCGCGATATCCTGAGTACTGTTTGGGATTCTGTCAAAAGTGAGCATTTTAACGTAACGGTTTTCTATGTATGTGGATAAGCTGACTAAAGTGATATCCAAAAATCCTCCAGCAATTTTTTAATACGGATTATTATGAAGATATATTGTTGATAGAACAGGTTTCTTGTTAACATAGTGTTCATAAAAACTTTGTATAAACTGGTTAGTTAGTTTCTACTTAAATATACAGCTGTTATGTCTGCGTTGAGTCAGATTAGATTTTGTTAAATATATCGATCAATTACCCTTCTGTGTTCCACTGCCATAAAATCTAACTTGGTTGATGTAGTGGATTGTCCAAGCTATCGTTTAAACCTCTAGAATAACCACGCTTCACTTCAGTTTTACATTCACCGTATCATTTGAGTCTCTGAACTGTGTTGTGGTCTTTTACTTTTTGAATATCAGTGCTCCATCTCAACTATCAGTATATACTCAGGTCTTTTGTAATTTTCTTAACAAACTAATCAGATAATTACTTCGTGACTTCTAACTTGACTATAGTTGGGCGTATTTCTTATTATTAAATTATGCTTGCATACGTAAGCCAGCAGTAATTTCCCGTTGCATTATCAAGCATCAAAGGATCCAACTGTAAATCGTCACCAAGATAGGTCGATTATCATTCAATTCACGATTTAAAACTTGTGTTCGAATCTCTAAAATGTGGCATGAGCATGTTATTTGTATACCACATTCTTGGTTTTTGAAATACACTATTCAGGTTGACACTAACTCCGGGTCTTGGGAGTTTCAACATGCTATTGAAAGCCTCATTTCACTAGGTCAGAGTTGTTACTTTTTAAACGCCATACGTTGGCTTAAGTCTAAAAAAAACATTCATCGCTATCACGAAAACTAAAAAGAATTAATGGTAGTCAAAATAGATTCTAATGCTACTAAGTGCGTCGGTCGTCTTTTTCTCCTGTTCACATATATGAACAACAAGACAAAGGCAGACAAAAGGGCGTCAGTTATAGTTACCACAGTCATTTGTCGTTCATATTACGGAGGTTTGTCACCTTGGAAAAAGAAATTGTGTTTATGCGCTAACTTGTACTTGAATTAGTATTCTCTAAATTCTTGATAATCTATTACAAAACTATAAGGGCTACATGAGATAGACTGTCTATGAATGTCTCCGATATCGAACAGTTTTTTAGATGTTTTAAAAAATAAGATCTTGGTTAACGGTCGTGATGGCAGTCATCGTCATTAGTTATTTATTATGAAGTATTTGTTAGTTCCAATCAGCACTTGGAGAACTGCCTCATTTTGTTTGGATTGGAAAGTTTCGACTAGCGTCTTTACAGTGCTGTGATTTGTTCGATTAATTTGTAGTACTTTAAAAGCTGACAAAAGTGGCCTTCTAGGGATTAATATTGTGTTGTCATTGTATTGATTAACTAACACTTAATTGTTCCTTTTTATTATAGCTACCTTATGTTCTAAAGCCAATAAAACCAAAAATACTTTCCGATTTCTGCAAATTGTCGTTCACATCATTTGTAATGAGGAGGAGAAGTTTGATTTCGTCTTATCTAGTGAAGTCTTTGAGGGTTTCAGCAAGCAGTTATCAGATTGCAAGTACAGTTATTTCCCTCAAGTCTCCCATTTACTAAGAGTGATGATGGACAAGATTATTGGTTCCACAAATGTTGATGAAAATCTCCAGAAATCTGCGGTTTCTATGTCTCCAGACCGGCTGTTGAAATCGATTGCTTTAAATTACCCACTATTTGACTTTTTTTGCGACTCTAGCTCCCCTAAGCCATGTCAGGTTAGCAAGTTTTGCATTATCTACATATTTTTACAGTAACATTTATATTATACCTTATGGTTATTGATCAGATAGAGCTTTTAGTTGCTATAAACAACTTCAAGAAGGCACTTAGTTTCTCTGTTTCTAATTTATGAGTCTTTCAAATAGATAACTAAGCGAATGGCTTCTATTTGAAATCAACATGTATGTATCGTCGCATTTCTTACATGCACAACTTGCTATCACTATGATCCATTAATAAGGTGTGGCTACCACATTAACTTGTAAGCACTTTACCTCAAAAACTTTCGGTCATTTTACAACTCATTATGTACATCAAGATTATTGAACTCAAAGTAAAGGTATCCGACCAACTAGCTGATTTTCAAGCTACAGAAATAGAAAAGTACTGGTGACTAGCTCTCATAAAGCAATGTAAACTGTAGTTGTTACAGTGATCCATAAAATTGAAATGACCAATGATGAGCTGCTTAATATCGTGAAATGTTTGCATGAAATGTATCTAGTAAGTGAACTATGCATCATGTAAGGTGTCTATTTATAGTTTGTCCCTTTGGATACAGTTTAATTTTTGGGTGGTTTTATCTACAAATAGAGAGATATAGTGACACAGACTTTAAAAGGAGTTGATTTCGTGAATTATTAAAGTTATGAATGGAGCGGAAAAGTCGATCTGTGTATTTAACGCAATGAACTAGCATTTTCGACCTTTTGTATTCGCAGGCTACATTGATGAAAAGCGCTCTCAAAGTTTTCCTTTTCATGAATGTTTACAAGATCTAGGAGGCAACTTATCATCTGTAAATAAAACACAGTCTTATCTCATTGTGTGTAAACAATTTGGTTAATTCGTGTATCGTTCATAGATCATAATGCCTTTAACCTTATCCCAAAAGTCTTCTCTCAACGGGTAGTTACTCAACGATTTGTTCTTTTAGCCAACAGACAGTGTAATAGCAGTGTAAAATACTATATTAATATTGAACCTAACTAAATTAGAAAAAGTCTAGTGGTCCGTGATTTCGACCAGCACTTATTTAGTGTACTAAATGATGTACCAATTCCGATATGATTTGTTTTGCTTCAAGTATGTTCTATAAGAAAATAGTACAATAGATGGTATACATGATTTCACTATAGATACCATGTATAATTTGTTTCACTGACGCTGAAAACTCATTGTTAAGGTTGTTGGATTACAAAATTGTATATTTTTGCTTGATATAATGATGTCATTTTTTAATTTGCAGATTATTTTTTATTCTGCACCATCGTCACTATCGTTAGATACTCTTCAGTTGTACGTTAAACAGTTAACAAGTGCCTTTATCAATGCTGAGGTTCAATATTCAAACAAAAATGTACGCAACATACGTGGCTTAAATAATCCAAATCAAATCCAATCAGTTGACTTAAATTATGATGCTATTCAATGTTTCGTAATTAAGCACTTGCAGATAGTTGTAAACACAATACTAAAATTCAGATACATGGAAGGAACTGAATTGCTCAGTCAGATTCTGGAGTTCCTACTAACTATTGGTATGACTTATTCATTGAAGGTTGATAACACCACTTTGAAGACACCGATCTCAACAAATGTTGCCAAGATTTGCTGGGGTGTTTTATTTGGGATATTAGATTGTATGGTATTGCAAGCAGTTACGATCAACAAACACTCTGGTCAGGAGACTATCAAGAACATTACAAATATGGACATAATTAGACATTGTGTATCCCTACTTAAAAATGCCGTCCCACAATGTACTAGGGCTATGTCCACACATTCTTCTAACACAGATATTAGTCTTTGTCTGGATTCGTTGAAACGATGCCTTAAGCTTCTCCAAAAAGTAGATCCTGAGGATCAGTTGGATCAGTACATACTGATAATGTGCGGAGCTGTTTCTGTTTTTTCTCTCTCCATGCCGATCGAAGGTGAGATACATTGTCGCAGAATTCGGTATTTTAATGTTGACGTATGTGAATATGTAACAATTAACCACTCAGGAGTAACTTGCAGTTGTGGGAACTGAATTAGACAGTAGATCATGAAACGTCTGGTGAGAACTGATACGTTTATGCGCCATGCTGAGGTATCGCAACTCCGACTACAGTACAGTGAATAGAACCACCTCTGTACTCTTCTCCTCCCTCTAACTAGAAGAATAAGGCCAGTGTAGTAATGAACACTTTTTAATGACACTGGTATACCAATCATTGAAAATCTATGCATGTTAATCGATTATACATCAGTTAGGTTGGTTAGGACTTTTGAACTGGGTATTTATCACTATTATTATTATTATTATTTGAACACATGAATATTGGTACAAGAGAGCGCCAATATATATGCGCCACACAAAACAATGAGAATTCGAAGAGAAATAGAAAAAAAAAACTAAGGAGCGCAAAAGAAAAAGAGGTGTAAGGTAGTGTGGTAGTAATGAGAAACGGAAAGGTACAATCAGAAGAAATCTTTCAGGTAAGGAGACACAACCACTTTTTATGAAGAAAGTAAAAGAAGGTTACAGCAGGATCGCCACTGGCTTCTATTCTGAGCCATATCTGATAACGTCTCTAGCCACTGTGTAGCACCATCTCTCGGACCCCAACCAGGGAGTCGTGAAGGACCAACACAAGCCAGTCCTTTGCAGCTTTCTTTCATGCCACGACACCATGTCATGCACTGACCACCTCTCCGCTTCTTCCAACCAGTCCCAGAGTCGGCAAATAATGCACGACGTGGAATTCTCTGGGACGACATTCGGAGAACATGTCCAAGCCACCGAAGTCGGTGTTTCAAGATGGTGACACCAATTGATTATCATCTCTGTGCCCGAACACACGATGCCGAACCTCTGCATTACTGACATGGTGTTGCCACTGAATGTCAGCAATCCTTCGGAGACAGCGATGATCGAACACAGAGAGTCGTCTAACGTCCTCAACTCGGAGAGGCCAGGTTTCACAAGCATAGAGCAAAACTGCTCTCACCGACGCGTTGTAGATCCGACCTTTTACAGCCAGACTAACATCACGAAGGCGCCAAAGGTGGCCCAGATTGGCATAAGCCGCTCTGGCTTTCACTATTCGTGCATTGATCTCATCACTCACACCCCCACCAGCACTTATGCAGCTACCCAGATACACGAACTTCTCGACTACGTCTATCTGCTCACCATCCAGGGTGAGTACAGGATTAGAATCCTGCCAGTCTTGTAGAAGTACTTTGCACTTCGAAGGTGCAAAGCACATACCATACCTACGGACACTGATTGCCAACTGATTAAGTGCGGATTGCATGCCTTGGGCATTATCGCACAGTAAGACAATATCGTCCGCATACTCAAGGTCGAGAAGTCTTTCTCCAGGCAACAGATCCACACCACCATTACTTACATTCATCAGAGCTGTTTCCAGAATGTCATCGATGGCAAAGTTGAAGAGGAATGGTGAGATTGGGCAACCCTGCCTAACCCCACTGCTCGAATGGAACAATGGAGAGAGGTGGTTGTATGCCCTCACTCTGCCTGAGGTGTTTTTATATAGGGCTTTTAGGATGTTAATAAACTTCTCAGGCACACCCTTCTTCAATAGACAATCCCAGAGAACAGTCCTGTCCAACGAATCGAAGGCAGCCCTGATGTCAAGAAACACTACGATTGTTGGCCTTTGAAAGTATGGCGGTGTTCTAACATTTGGCGGAGGGTGAAGATATGATCAATACATCCTCGACCAGAACGAAACCCAGCCTGCTCCTCGCGAGTCAATCTTTCTCGGGTTTTGAACAACCTACGAAGTATGACGGAAGCCAATAGCTTGGACGCAATCGGAAGTAGACTTATCCCCCGATAGTTGTTACAGGAACGACGTGAACCCTTTTTAAAGATAGGGACAACTATCGACTCATTCCATGACGTTGGTACACTCTCTAGTTCCCAAACCTTTGTAAACAACGTCGTCAATTCCTTAGTCAAAAAGTCACCACCATCTTTAAAAAGAGCCGGAGGTAAGTCATCTGGGCCAGGTGATTTGTAACGCTTCAAGAGTTGGAGTTCCTTGCGGACTTCCTCCTCGTTTGGTGGATCAGTCGTCACCGGCCATGGAGGGCAGGACAGTCTGACCGATGTTGCCGGAGCAGCAGGCCAGTTGAACTGCCCATCGTCCAAGACGTCGATGGATGTTAGTGATTGGCATCCCATCATCCTCGCAGATTGTTTCACTCACACCAGACTTCTTGCTGCCAGTGGCTCGGATGAGCTGGAAGAGCTTCCGGTAGTTACCAGATGCAGCTGCTGCTTCCAGCTCATTAGCACGCATCGACCACCAGGCTTCTCGGTCCTTACGCAAGCTTTGCCCAATTTCCTTACGTAACATCCTTCGTTTATGGTCAAACTCACGGTCACCCGGAGTAGACCGACGGGCTTCAATGAGTTGTAAGGAACCAGAAGAAACCCAGTGCTTAAAAGCGGGACGTTTCGCAAACCCACAACTGACTGTTCCCGCCATTTTCATGGCGTCATGCAATTGCAACCAATGCTCATCTATACTTTTCGGTGGAGTGGTAGCTAGCCTAGAGGCTAGCTCGGTTCGATACTTACTTGCAACAGAAGTTGCAACCAGCTTGCTAACATCAATCCGTTGATGGCGTCACTTCGTTGTCCACTGAAAAGTAAGGCAAGATTGGCGCAGACCAAGGCATGGTCAGAGTCCAGATAGGTACTCCAAAAGGAGCGGCAGTCTTGTACACAACCACGCCAGCGGTAGCTGATCGCGATGTGATCAATCTGAGTCCAGGCTTGAGATGCAGAGGGAGGACGCCAGGTGGCACATCGGCGATGACTGTGCCGAAAGTTAGTGCTAGCCAGAAACAGGTTGTGGTCTGTGCAAAGTTGCAGTAGACGGTCCCCGTTATCTGACCTGCGACCAACGAGTCCCCATCGGCCACCTAAACGACTCTCTTCTGTGCCTAGACGCCCGACCTGAGCATTCAAGTCTCCGGCTAGTACTACAATATCTGTCGAACGCACTTTCTGGAGAAGAACAGATAACTGGTGGTAAAACTCATCCTTGATTGCATCCGGGCTGCAATCTGTCGGGGCATAGGCGGAGATGACGAAAAGACATCGTTTCTCACGCCGATTTCTTCTCACTTTGATGGAACTTTCTAATCTAACAGCACATAACCGACTGTTAATGGGGATCCAATCGACTAGTGCTGCCTCAGCTCTAGCGCTTAGTGCGACACCAACGCCAGCAAGACCAGACGAAGATGCCACAGGGTCCCCGGATAAGCGCACGTAAAACAAGCTTTTCGAATCGACCGGCGCTTTAACCGGATCACAAATCAGTGGTGCACATGGGCTCCAGTATCCTGCGGGAACAAATGGCATATGAACCAATCGTTGGTCACCGGCTACCATGGGATTGCATCTCCTTACGATGCTCCACTGCCTTGTGGGTTAGACCTTTAGGTCAAAGGCTCGGGGTGTGGCCCTTTAAGATAACCACCTGCTTCGGTTTGTGCACCCGGGCAGTATCACAGCCCACACACAAATGATGAACTCTTTATTTATTTATCACTAAATACAAATCAAGGTAAAGATGAACTGAAAGTTCATAACCACAGTTCACACTGAATAACTTAATTTGACGGGAGCTCATCTTAATCGATATTGATTTCATTTCCCTTAGTTGTATTTGGGGATCGCACATCCTCAACAATATTGCAAGTGCTATAAATATCCACTGTAGATTGATTTATAAGTAATGTTGTAAGAAAGGCTCTCATACTCCATTCATTATAGACAGAAAATATATATAATCAGTTCTTAGTTCTACCATTTATAAATATTAGATCAAACATGCTTTAAGTAAGTACTTTTCAAAAATAAATAGTCTTAATACGATTGGTATTATATTGGTTGATATAAACTGAAAATCCTTGATTTTGCAATTAAAATAATGGAGGAGCTGTTTTTAAGGGAACTCCTGGATCGACAATAAATCTAATGCCAACGATGATCCAAGTTTAAAAACTAATCAAGCAAAACATTTTTTACCTGTTTGCTAATAATTGAACAAACCAAACAAGACCCATCAACTCAAAGAAGAAGCAGAAAATTACACTTTATGGACAAGCTGTCCTGCACACTGTGAGATTTGTATGATGGTAAATATTAGTCAATTGCTTATGTCTATGATATGAATGCAATTATTTCTTCTGATGAGTTTGTACAGAAATTGTTGAGACGTCAGTTCAAAAAGACCAATGTATTGAACACATGAATAATTGACACAAAAATTGAGAAATAACAGAAACAATGAATGATATATGGAAAGGTCAATGCGTGGTAATAATCTGTTTTGTGAGTAAATTAAAAATGAATGGAATTGCAGGAAATAAAAAATAACAAACTAACAGATACCTTTACAATAGGAGAATCGCCTTGTTTCATTAAATTTTCCACTTGAGTAAGATTATCTAAGCGCTGTTGAGTTGATTCAAACTTAAAATGTAAAAAGAATTATATATTACAAAGTTAGAATGTTGTTGAGTGAAACAATACTGAATTTATGAAAAAACGTAAAGATGTAAATTATCTGTCCTGAGAATTTGAAAAGATAATCGCAGAGGTGAGGATTTTAACATTTAAATAGTGGTGAGCAGTAGAATCTTAGCTACTGAATCCTGATAGCCTTGTGAATCAAGGCAATGCGCACAAGATGCACATATGCCAATAAGAGACTGATAAATTTCAATTCTCAATATCGATGGAAGATTCAAACAAACAATACCAATTCTAGGAGTATTTCTTGAAGACAGGCTCGTATCGTAAAAGGAGCATACTTTCATTGTACTGTAAATGCTTGTATCGCATTGGTAAACTACACTTTAAGGGTTGTATTATGTGAACAAATAAACTCAATAAAGTATATATTTATTTCATAGTATGGTCTATAAAAACAGGATTTTTGGGAGGTTCTGTTAGCCGTCACATTTCCGTAGCTGTTACACATAAAAGTTAAGGTATGATGTGATTCTTTGATTTGTTTTCATTTCCTTGTTTCCTTTTTTGTTTGTAGACACGTCTGAAATCTTGAACGATTTGGTTGAATGCAGAAAAAGGCGTCTAGAGAATAATATATTTGAAGGTCCCCACTGGTCAGAAGTGCTTACTGATGTGATTCTAAGTGCCCTTTCCTTTCCTGTCCACATGTTGCGCTCTGTCACCCGTCTAACATTTAAGAAAATGGTTTTGGAAAAGGCATTTATAAGTACGATTAATTCAGGTGAAGAATATCCTTCTTGCCTAAAACTAATTGGTGATATACTTAAGACACGGTCGTCAAAACAAGCTGACCGTGCAAAGCATGATGAAGACGAAGATGACGACTCAGAAAAAGAAGATTTAGTTCATTTTTCGTTGTTCAATTCGACAAAATTAATACAGTCTAAGGAGTTGTCTATGCGAATTGATGATTTTGAGGACGAAACCGTCTCAGTTGAAGATGAAGAAAAGATTGCTAATCAAGAGAGAAACTCACAAGATAGTTAGTTTTATATGATTGGTCTTTTTAATTCTGGTCCAAGATATTTCTGTTTATGACCTTTTATTTCCAACATTTCATGGAAGTCTATTTAGCCAAGTTATCCATGACAGTCTTGAACTTAAACGCGCTCGAGTTATCCAGGGATTCGGTTAGTAGTCATTACTATTTTACCTGACTTTTTATCTATGGGGTTATATGGTGCAACTTAGTAAGTTATTGTGATTTCATTAAAAGCATCTTGGATAAACAACCGTACTTATATGATTTACTGTGCATCAGATTGCCTTACTTGTTTTGAAGACTAAGTGCTGCTCTTCAATATTTATCTAAGGTCAGTCTCCAATTTGAAACTAATTATGTCACTAGTACTAATGACGCTTGCAATTTCCGCTTCACAATCAAAGAAATAACTTGATTGTATGGGGAGTCTTAATTTCCATGAGAAACTATTGGTGGTTATAGGAGGACTTGTTTTGAATTTGTCGGTATGGACCGCGCAACATACTTTAGTACTGCTTTGATTCTTAGAGAAAATCATATAAATAACTTATATCGGAAATGAGCTAGTTTTACGTAGCTCGTATGGTAAATCATTTTGAAAATACTTAGTATCAAGATGGTTATTGGTTTTATTCTTTAGTGTTTGCTGATGTCCAATACAAATATTGAAATTAGCAACACCGAACAACTAAATGCATTATTATGTAAATGCAAATTGAACACTCCCAGTAGTCGTACTGTGTAAATGTGTTAACTAATGCATCCGTCCCAGATAGCTTACAGGAAGAACTTAGAGTGAGAAATTATCTTTCAGTAACACGTCAAGGTGGTCTGTGAAATATACACGAATGTTTATCATAGTACCGGTATCCAATGCACCACTGATCTGTTTGTGACTATTTACAGTCTACATCATGAGAGGGTTACATATATTTTATGATGATGATATTTGACCTTTACAAGCTTACAATGTGATGTGCACTACTTATGCAGACAGCCATTATGTGGCAGGCATTGGAAGGAGAATACTTGTCAGCAGAAGAGTGAAGTAAAGAGACGAGGAAGCAAAGCGAAGAGCAATTGAAATAATAACAGAATCAGACGAATGATGAAGTATTTTAAGGACAGCTGAAGGAAGATATGTTGTAAATAATGTATTCAATGTATGATTTTCATATTTTACAAAGCTACTGTTTGATTTTGCATAAAACAGTAAATTGGTTTGCCGTACCTGAATTCACGTTCACTATAACAGTAATAGTTGAACGATATGTATATCGGTTGATTATTTTTCTCCATAATTCTGTTGAGAACACATAAAAACCAGATGATTATTTTTTGAGGAAATTCGCTATTTAAAATGACTAAGGTTTACGTTATACTTCTTACATCTGAACATAAGATGTTGGTTGCAGTAAGAATAATTTAAAATAAGTATGATTATAATAAAAAGTAAACAATGAAAATAATTGTGTATCTGAGTTCTAAAAGAACCAACTTAGGTTTTTGGTTAAGTTTTTGAAATTGAAAAAAGTCATTTTCTTATTATGTCATAAAGTTGTACTTTTTATAAATGATGATCAGGTTAGCGTAGTTTATATTTCTTATTGTTAATAATGTTGTCAATATTTTAGCCTCAGATGATTCAGACTCTGATGCAGTTGAAGAAGAGATTGATATTGATGAAGATGAACTTAATCAAATTAAAAATAGTGTACGTGATGCACTTGGTCCAGCTGCATTAGATAGTGAAAATAACGATTGCCGGGACTTCACAGATGCTGAGATGTTTGAACGTGATGAAGCTTTGGCAGCTGCATTTCGTATTCATATGCGTAAACCTCAACGAATAGTCGCTGATCAAGCTCGTTCAGTTGGTGAATTGAAAATGAAGTAATCAAATGATTATTTCTTTTTACTTGCAAATCACCAACTATTTGTTTGATAATTACGTTTTCTACATTAAATTCGGCAGTGTTATGTGGAGAAATTTTTACTGAAGTCGCCCAGTTTCCAGCCATTAGATAACAGGTTTGATTCCCACTCCATCTGCTCTGATGCTGTTGTAAATCAGTCTTTTATCATTTGTAGTGGGAAAGGTGTTAAGTGATTATAAAACTAATGGATGAAGTGTTCTAGTCGTTTAGTGATATGCAGTGATGCAATTTGACCAGGTGTTTGATATTTAAGAGACCGAAGTATCGACGTAAGCACCGAATTAAACTGATATTAGAAAACGAGATGTCTGATCAGTAAAATAATTTCTTAACAAAACACATATACGAAGTGCTAAGCACAAGAATATACATGGTCAAATGTATTAAGTGAACAAACAATTTTAAGTTGCAGGAACTATAGTTCATTCACTTTCCACTAGGATTAACGCCCAACTAGGTGTAATACTTGTCCCATTATATCAAGTACTAACAGTCGGATAATATCACCAGTCCTCACACCAAACATCGTGTTTAAATCTAATTATATAAATCAGCGTGTTTAATGGGTTGCATTGGAAAACCAGTGTCAAACGGATTAGATATTTGCTTCAGTTATTACTAGATATTTATTTTTTTCGTAAATTGTTTACTTTTTATGTGTACTTAAAATGACTTATTGATAACTATATCCTTTCATGTATTTTAGATGTTTCGATTTGATTGAATGTATTCTACAGTATAGTTCTGAACCTCAACTTGTCTTGGTAGGTCTTAATGGATAAATTGTTCATTGTTCTAAACTTTTTTTATTTTGCTAAATTCTTTATTGTTTTGTTGACCTATTCAAACGTAATGTTTCAGGAAAAACCAGTGATCAAACCCTAATCGTTTTGGTAAGGTTGAAGGTGAATATTTCTTTTCTCTGTGTTTATAGATAGACAGACAATGTCAATGTAGTTATGCGTTGGCCCAATCCGCTGTACGTGATTAGCACGATGAGATGAAAACAACCAAAGAGATCGAAATAATGTAGTAAGAAGTAATAAAAAAAAACTAAACCTTGGGAATATGGTTTGGAAAAACAGGGTTGAGAGGCATGGATGAAGGGACACTGCAATTCAAGAACGAGAGGAAGATACAGAGTAGATGGATCTGAACTATATTACCCAAAGTCTTGAACCATTGGTCGCGGTTACTACGCAGACCTTAACCAGGTAGTTTGCATCTGTTAACATGGATCAGACCAACTGTCAATGGCTTCATGAACGGATGCCACGTTTTGGTTTGGCCACCTCCAGCTTTTACGTGGATGATATTTTACTTACCTCAAGAAAAAGTTTTGTCCGTTAATCGTGTTTTTTTCTGGTCACTATAAATGTAACTTCATTGTGCAACAATTTCTTATGATAAAAACGAAAACTTTTTTGTTTTTATTTTGCAGCCTGCTCTTGATCTTGTGCTTGATATTGGCAAAGGATCCATTGAATATGAAACAGCCAAATCACGAAATGATTTAAGCTCAAATAGAAAAATCAACCAGAAACAAAAGAGAAAAACTAGTTTTATTGCTAAATATGGTGACATACCTCCACTGTCGAGTATAATACTTGTTGTGAGAAGATGGCGTTTCAGGTCGCAAAAACGCAATCCGAGTTTATAGAATCTCTCAAGAACCTTGATCAACATGTTTATTTGAAAAAAATTGTGCAATCTCTTATAGATGCGGCCAAAACAAGTAAGTATTTTTTCGATGTGTCCCCAGCATTTTAATAATGTGCATATTGTTTTTTGATGCTCAATTGCATCCAATTCGGTGTGTATTAAATGAAAGACGTAAAGAGCCAATTTTCTAATTATTTATTCTATTTTCTCTTCTTTTTTCAGCGGATAGAACTCAACTGTTTACAGAATTGTTATCCAACATTATAGAATTTATTGTAAGTTTCTACAATCGTCTTTAGGAAATAGCTCATTTTCACGTCAACGATTGACTATGTAATTGACAAATATTTCTTAAAATTTGTTTTTGTATCTTTTCTGTACAGTATCGAAGTATGAAACCGTTGAAAGCAGAATTTCCCGATTTAGAATCACCATTGTCTGATTATTTATTAGAACAACTTCATGAAGTTTTAAGTAATACTAACCATCAAGCTGCACTATTCCTTAATCTTCTAAGTCACTGCCAAGTGAGTTAATATTGAAGAAGAGTTTTCATTTCTTGTTGATAATTTCATTTCGTATTATTGAAACTAAGCCAATAAGTGTATTTGTTATCGTTTGATTGTAGACAAATTAAAATAGTCAAGTGAACTAGAATTGGTAAACCTTATATTGAATTACTGTCTGTTTAGATAAACAAGGAATGAACATCCACACTCATGCTTCTATGCACTTTATACAGGTAATATAGAGGAGGAAACCAAAGCAGTTTGTAAAGAAGTATATCTAGAAAAAATAACAGTCCAGCGATATAACTCGTTTATTATTAATCTATGAGAAACATTTATTTGATGAGCACCTGGTACACATTTTATTAGCTTAATCAAAAAGAAATCCTTTCACTTATTTTAGCCGAAAGTGAATGTCTAAACATGAGTCACAGTGTTGGAAATCGATCTTAAACCTTATATTGCAGAATTACGGGCCTTCCTTCTTGGATGCTGAATCCATATTTCCGCTTTAATGTTATGCCTTTTAATATATGAACCTTAAATTCAATCTCCTGGAAAACCACTCTGGCATCTAGAGTAATATATATATATTCGATACTTAGCTCTTTTGTGTGAAAGCAACCTTATGCTTCAAGACAGGAAACCTACTTCACTAAATACCAGTTTTATCGTTGCCGATACGTTGTTTGACTGAATGGTTCTACAAAATGCCAGAAAAATGTGGACTCATGACGATGTCTGTGTAATCTCTCTGAGAGTACTTACCGATTGCGATTCACTTGGGATTATGTGATCTTTTTAGACCTAAACTTGTCAAGTATTTTTTGAAAGGTCGAATGTTATTGTTTAGTAGTAATTTCAACACACTGATAAAGTATATTGGGAGTAACTTTGAAACATTTTGTTTATGAAATGAACTCGACGTATGAAAGTACACCAGATCAACATAATGGTGATTTGGTTGTTAAGACATCAGCTCATTGAACGAGCCGATCGCTAGCTTACCGGCCTTAAATCAGCATATTAGATGAACATTGAATTGCGCTAAAATAGTCAAATTCATTATTTATACGACCTTCTTTCCGGATTTGTAAATAATTTAAATAGAGTTTAACATTCATGTCCTATTCTTAATTGCTTAGTCGAACAGGTTTGTTTGGAGTCACGCAAATAACCCAAATTACAACGCAAAGAAATTAAAACGATTAGTCCCTTTTGTAAATTTCCATAGAGCAATGAGAAGACGGAGTTGATCTGAAACTAGTTATTACACTGAGTTGTAAGTCAACTGCATATTTCATGCTGCCTTTAAGTGAATAAAGCCACTTGGTTAGCATACATACTTCATTTCAACTTGTATTTTTTCGAAACCCGTACATTCCTTAGATCAGTTGCATCAATAAAGAGCCTTGGAATTACCATCAATAGAAATAATAAACTTCAATATTTTTTGTACAGCCAGATCAAGTTGCTCTGATCTTCATCAACATAAGTTGGCTTATTTTAAGAATGTTTATTCATACTTTTATGTACTGTACGATTTCACTGGATTATTCTTATTCATTTAATATACAATTTTATTTCGAAATCCATTAGACATTTGCACACAAGGCCTCAAAATTGCTTGTCGAAACTACTGTGAAAGCATGCGAAAAAATAATCGATAGTTTAGATGATATTCGCGAAGTTAAAATTAATGGTTTCGAAAGTTGTAATCTCGTTAATTTGTTCCAAATAGTTACTCATATGTTCAAGTCAAATAAAAATGAGTTAAAAGCCAAGAAAATGTCAAGGAAACTCAGTGTCAAACTAGCTGAAGTGTTGCAAACAGCAGAGAAAGCTAGCCAATGTTCAGTGAACAACAACGTCTGGTACAATCGTCTCAAATTATCCTTAGCCTTGTTCGAACTACTTATGTGTATTGTAAAACTTGATGAGAATGCTTCGTCTACGGTAGGCTGATATAGTTTATTATTATTATTATTATTATTATTATTATTATTATTATTATTATTGTCATTAAGGGTTTTTTACGTACATTCTATCCATGCACCTGCTCTTATAACTAGATACCTAGTGCTGCGCTACCTATTCTCACATCCATTAATATACATACAGTGACGGTATATGTTCCTGTTTTTCGTTTGTACTAAAGATAAATTCCTTCTTACTCTATACCTCTAACTTGATAGTATTACTATCCCTCAAACCGAAAGTATGACTCGAAATCTAGTGCAAAAAGCGTACTTGGTAGTTGAGTTATACAGTTATTACTATTTAATTAAACACCTACTGTTTTCAAGGTCTATTCCTAGTTCATTTTCTTTGATGATGATCGTAACTTCAAAAAAACACTAGCAACAAAAGTACAGCGGTGGTTGGACATTGGACAATTTCGTCCTCGAATTTCCAAGCATCATTCTACTTGGTTGAACAAAGTGCAATTAAAGTTGATCCAGATCTCTGCCTGGTTGATAGAGGATGTCAAATAGACATAAATATAACCATCAGTATATGATTATGGAGATTGCTGAGTTTTTATTGAGATCACGAACCGATCAACGTTAGACCACAATTGAGAACCTGAAGGCATTGAACGGCCGTTTCATCCTAGTACGGGACTCCTCAACAACACGCATCCACTACTCAGCACGCAGGACTCGGCTATCCAGTGCTTCCAGGTTTTCAAGGGTGGTCTAACATTGATCGGTTCACAATCTTAATAAAAGCAAATATAACCTTCCGAGTATTCCATTATATTCCACTGAATTTCCTGTATGGTTTGAGCATACAAACTGGATTTTTATACCTAGAAGCAATTTGTACATCTCTTTACCTCGGCCATCAACACAACGAGTACTAGACTTGGTTACAAACAATTCGCTAATGCCCATTTCAAGTTTCCTTTTGCTTCATTCTCTTGCACAGTCGCAACATTGCTATCTCAACTCTTATGCAACTGTCCCTAGTATTTTACTTCTTATCAGAACCCGGTCAGTTCTCTCACTAGACATTATGTAATATGTCAATCCCATAACTGCATATTTCCAATTATTTTACTAATCAATGCATTTGAATATTACTTACTTCATCCATCTTATCTTTTAATTACTTCTTCATTCATTCATGATTATTTTCATAAACTCTTGAATTTCCTTATTGTCTTATCCACAACTACTTGACCGTCACCAATTTTATTTTCATTGTAAAACACAACCGTCAGTGTATAGCCTTAATGAAAAACTGGTTGGAAAAAAATATCTCTTCTCTCTATCAATGTTTTTCCAAGTGGGTATTTTAGTTTTACTGAGACCACGAAAGTGTCCGCTGAATTTTTGGATACTTAACTGAATTCTTATCGTTAATAATAATATTCATAGTTACACTGCAAAAGTTTATATTTGCTGTAATGGTTCTTAATATAGCCAAATTTAAATGCAAATAAGGTACGAGAAATTTGACAAGCAACAACACCAATGCAATATGACATCAAGAGAACTGGGAAAACTTTTATACAGCTTGACCGACGTTTGTTTCCATCCTCGATAACCAGTTAGACTCGTCTATCTAAGCTTGTTTAACTATACAGCTGAGTTAAGTATTTAACGCTGATAGAAATAGATACTCATAAGAGCATAATTTATGTATCAGCATTTTATAACGTGTAGCTTGCTCAAGTATGCATTCCGTAAGTCTGTTTGATTATTTTCTTACTGTATTCTGCTTTAATAAGGAATATCTTATTTTCCTTATCTCTCGATATTTGACTTTGTTTCTTTTCTCAAAAGTTGTTTTGATATAGTTCGATCTCATCCGCCTATAACTGCTATAGATTTTGTTGAAATTGCGTTTTCTGAGCACGGTGGTTTAAGGATAAAAAATTAAACGATATTATTCTCTTGAGCGACTCCTTTAGTTATTAGTCATGATTATACATTTGATAAAGTGAAAACAGGGAACTTGTATATTGAAAAAAATCCATTTGTTTGGTTTTTGTTATCTAGTTTCTTCAAGATCATATTGTTAAACTTCTAGAGAAATTTCCATCAACACAAAAACCTATCAGATCTGCGGCACGACGCTTTTTAAACTTGTTGAAAGAGAACAATCGTAAATCTGGGTGAGTTGAATAATTTCGCACATACTATTATGATTTGATATAAATTGATCACTTGCGATTTTATAATTAAATAAATTCTAAATATTGACTGACAACTACTAGGCTAAAGATTGTCTTCATTAAAACTTCATCCATTTTCTCAATGTAACCAGTAATCTCCATCAATTTTATGTAATTTATAGATTGTAACTTATTTTTTTTTAAAAACACCTACCTAGGACTCCTGATTTACAAAGGTCACTGTTAATACTGCCGTTTAGCTAGCAAGTCACTTTGATTGTATCGGAGTCTATTTATCTTATTTGTATCCCAAAAATTGACTGTACCAACTGTCGGGATGGCTTCAAGAAGCACGACGAAGCCTCCAGAGACTCTAAAGAAGCCGAAGAGATTCCATTCAATCGGAACCTGATAGAGTCTCGTCGAACACCAACGTGGCATGCTATAATTGGACAACACAACTACTTCTAGATTGGCTGAATTATAATGTCACAGTCCATACTAATAGCTATAAATACTGATTTTTGTTTGTGCATTTTTGATTCTTACCCAATAATCACTTCCCCTACTTCATCCATCTTCTGATTTGCGACGGTGGTGTTCTACACGTTCAAGTGAGTGCCCTTAGTTGTATATCGTATTCTGTCGTAACCAAGCAGAGGACGTAACATCAATGCTGTTTCATTTTTCGCAGTTCTTTTTTTTGCCTTATTCTGAATCCCGAAGTATATGACATCCATCATTCTTTTCTGATTCTTTATTAAAGCATATTTAATGAATCTGAAAGTCGACAAGAAAAATTACGTCTTAAAATGGAACGCAAGAAACAACGTCAACAAAAGCGTAAAGAAAAAGCCTTAATGAAAAGGAAACCGGCGGATAAAGCAACTGAACCAAAACGAAATGAAGTCAACGCAAAAAAGAAATCTCTTAAGAATAACGCTAATAAATCTAAGTCAACGATTAAAACGGTGCCTTCACCAAAGGACAGCCAAAAAGTGCGTGTTCTGAAACGAAAACGTCAACCAGATATCAAAAGTGACAATAAAAAGAGAAAAGTTACTGAGGATTGAATATTATGAGATTGAGAAGAAATTGTAAATATATATTTTTCAGTGTATGCTTCCACATTTTTCATTTGAAGTAGTATGATCATCACAAACAGATACAACAATAGACAGGTGAATTTGCAAAGATTTCGTAGAATTACCATTATGTAACGGTATCGGCCGGTCGGTTACCATTTCTAATAGTGAAATATAGGTCAACCATTCATGTAGAGTCTAGATTCCGACGATATACATACCGCTAATGGATGTCACTAAACGAAGTCAATCTCCATCAAGATTGTCAGGTGTGTACTTAGGAATTTTGTGCTTAAAAATTCGAACCTATTAAGTGAGAATAAATTTGTAAATGTGATGAACTTCAGAAAACTATGGGTAGGACAACTACCTTACTATTATACATGTATCTGACTGACGTTTATGTTGTCTATGCTAAATATGGGGTAATAATCCTTGCTATCCTGTCATGACACAAGCGGGAGAGAAAATGTCAATGAAAATAATACGCCTATAAGGAACCTAGGGATGCATTGCCTGCAAGTTTTCTATTTAATCGATGAGACGATTATTTAGTGACTTGTCTAGAAACCTTATTAACGCCTATGTGAATTTTTCCTAATGTTTGAACAGACTAATACGCTGACTACGTATTCCGTGAACTACTATACATAACTTGTTCGTTCTTGTAAATTATTTACTGTTAACAGACATTATCATAAATGTATGTGTGCATGTCTGTTGCCCTTATCTGTAATCTGTGCGTTGTCTATTTGATTCGTATTTAAACATTTTAAATAGGCTCTTACTATCTGCATCTATTCAACTACCACATTTACATGCTTAGTCAGCCTGCTCAAATGAATGTTTGAAATATACGCGTCCTCACTACAGTTCGTTTTCCACTTAATACTTTATTCACCAGGCACAGATGACTCACCTCGATCCCTTTTTAAGGATAGTAGCGACCTGGCCATGAGTCTGACTGAGCTGTATGCAAAAGTTTAGAAAGCCGTCTTTCCAAACCCTGGAATGCGTCGATAGTCGTCTCTATATTTAAAAGGGGTTTATTTGACTTGTGCAACGTTTATCGAGGAATAAGATTACTTCCGACTGCGTCCAAATTGTTAACTTCCGTCACATTTCATATATTGTTCAAAACTTGCGAAACACTGACTCGTGAGAAGCAAGCTAGATTTTGTTCCAGTCGAGGATACATTGGTTATATTTCCACTATTTGCCAAATGTTACAACAACGCCATACTTATCACAGGTCAACAATCGTAGTGTTTTTTGACATCAGGACTGTTCCCTGGGATTGTGTATTGAAGAAAGATGTGCCCTATAAAAAAACACCTTAGAGTATGGGCATAATATCAACTCTCCCCACTGTTTCATTCAAGTAGTGAGGTTAGGCATGTTTGCCCAATCTCACCATTCCTCTTCAACTTGGTCATCGATGACGTGATGAATACACCTATGATGGATGTAAATAACGGTGGTGCGGATCTGTCGTCTAGAGAAAAACCTGTCGACCTTGAATATGCAGATGACATCGTCTTGCGGTACGACGATATCCAAGTCATGAAATACGTGCTTATTTAGTTGGCAATCAGAGTCCGTAAGTATGGCATGTTCTTTCTACCTTCTAAGTGCAGAGTACTTTTACACAACTAGCAAGACCCTGTACACGCACTCACCACTGCTAGTAAGCAGGTAGATTTATGCTAACCTGGGCAATCTCTGGCTCCTTCCTGATGTCAGGTTGCCTGTTGAAAGTCAGATCCATAATGTCTCGGTGAGAGCAGTTTTGCTCTATGCTTGTGAAACCTGGTCTCTCCGAGTTGAGGATGTTAGACGACTCTCTCTGCTTCATCATCGTTGTCTCCGAAGGATTGTTGACATCCAGTGGCAACACCATGTTGATAACGCAGAGGTTCGACAACACATGTTCGGGGCACAGCGGTGAAAATTCAATTGGTCACCATTTTGAAACACTGACTTCGATTACTTGGACATGTTCTACGAATGTCGTCCCAGGGAATTCCACGTCGTGCATTAGTTGCCGACGCTGGGACTGGTTGGAAAGAGCGGAGGTGGTCAGTACATGACATGGTGTCGTGGTATGAAAGAAAGCTGCACAAGACTGGTTTCTGTTGATCCTGTACGAATTCCTCCGTGGTTAAGGTGCAGCACAGTGGCTTCAGACGTTTCCATGAATGGCTTAGAATAGAAACCAGTGGAGACCCTGCTGTAAATTTATATTACTTTTTATATAAATATGAACGTAACTTCTTTAACTGAATGAATTTTTCTGGTTACATTTTTTCTAACTGAACTGTTTCTCCTACCATTATTATTATTTCACTCTCATACACTTATTTCTATCCATTGGTGTTTCTTTATTATGCTTTCCTTTATTTCTTTACAATCTCACTTTCTTTGTGTGGTGCATGTATATTTGGTTCCCTCTTGTACCGGTGTTTATGTGTTCAAATAATAATAAGAACAATATTCGACTTCAACGTTGTGTTAATTTAATTAGTTGACAGGAGATATACGAAGTTAGATAAGACGCATATATTTCATTCACTATCATCGTTATTAATGGAATCAACTTGAGGGCTAACGTATGCCTCGGAGTAATTTGCTCAGGGAGGACTATAGAAGTAAATTTTTCATTCTAATTTCAGATATCAGTGACTGTCGAACATGTAATAAATACCAAGAAATATGTTATCACTTTTTCTGTTAAAAGTAACGTTCTTGCAACGAATTTTAACGTTAATAATCAACGAATTATTGCGTTATCCCGTTGGTTTAACTATGAGATTATATTTATAATAATAAATCCACTTCAGGCTAGTGATTTCAAAAGCAAGATTAGTGACTAAGACTATTGTTCTGACTTCAGTGAGACTATACGTTCACTTCGGAGACAGTTCTTAATCACGTTTTATCATCAACTACCCTTCAGCACGCTGAGTCACTGCTATTGCCGTTTAATGTGAGACTAGACTACTGGTCGATTCAATGGACTTAAAACATCTGGATGTTTCGTACGATACATAATATTCTCTTGAATTCTACTGTTTGTACTCTGGTTTCCAAAAGATTAAAATACTCCATGATACTACGAATCCTTGGTACTTGTCAACGATATATAATTGTGCTGATTTTATTCTGTGCAGAATTTATGGACAAGTTCAATTGATAATCTGGTTTTGATAACAGTTTGTCTTAAGATCTCTATTGAATTAATACAATAGTCAACGACTACGCTGAAGAAGCACTTACTAGCTGGTCGGTTGTTGTAAAAATTTCTTATTTTAAAGAATTGATATGTGAATCATATCACTAGAAGTTAAGAATCACAACATTTAAGAAGACCAACCAACAAAAAGAAAAATATGTTTGCATATATCGTTTACATTCTTTACATTATCAATTAGTTAGCCAGGTTCAAGAGCCACCGCAGCCTCAGATTTTACAACACCCCATAATCCTTCCTTTATATAAAGCTGTATTAGTTTCAACTGTTGTCTGTCAATCAAATTTTGGAATGATTTACATTCACTACAACTCCATACTTTGTATGTCTTCAGCATATTGTTCATAATGTCTAATTTGGCTTGCACAAGTTGTATTTTATCTGGAAATCCGAGTTCCGTTTGACGATTAAGCAAATATTCGAAAAATCCGGGTTGTCGTGTTATTTGTCGAACTCCCCAGGGCTGTTTTACACAAAGAAAAAGGTGATAGGTATGCAGAGCATTACAAGATGAGTAATTTAAGTTTGTATCCGTATTTATAACTTAAAGAGCGAATGCTTTGAAAGTATTGCCCACTCCACGTTTTTTTTCCCGATATATGTATCTTTGACATGTCCCATCATGTCTGCGAGAGATACTTAGATCTACGGTGTGGAACATATATTCTCTTATGTTCCAATGTAAATCGGATACTGGAATGGACTTAGTTGTAAGTTTCAAGTATTTGGCTTCATTATTTATGCCGTTGAACAACACGAAAGTATCATCAACGCACTTTACATAAAGTACAATCTCGCTGATAGAGGACATTAACTTTGGACCTTATACATTTAAAATGAATATATCAGCTACGACTGATCCTGAAGGGGGATTCCCATAGCCAAATCGTCTGCTTGACAGTATAACTTACCATTAAATTGGAACTGAACATTTTCTGTGCATAGATATAGTAGCTGTCTAAATTGTATCCGCGGTATGGATATGTGTTGTGAGTGTTGGCTGATAATATAAATTGTTTTTTCCAAAGGGATAATGGCAAACAGTGAAGATATTTTGTATGAAACCATAAGTTTATTTGATATATTTATTTTTTCAATTATTGCAAACTCAAACGTATCCCTTAAACTGTATACAGCCAACTTCTTATAAGTTGGTTCAAGTTTGCTAGCTAACCATCGGGTCAATTTATGACAAAGAATTAATTATAGAAACAGGTGGTACACAATATTCATGCGATTTGGTTTGACTATACATGCATGTTAAGCGTGAGTCACGTGATCATGACTAAAATCAAAGACTTAAGATAGCTTTGAAGGACATATTTTCTGCTGCTAAATTGTTTCTGTTGCATAGAATGCGATGTCCAACAACACAAACTTAGGTAGACAGATAGCTAGCACGTATCATCTTTAACTGGTTATATCAATTCACATGTACTTGTAAAAAACAGGAAGAAAGACAGGCATCTACACGTTGAATTGAATATGCTCCAAAGAACCTTTAGCTCAAAGGAAAATATTTTTTTCGTAGTTCTATAGTACTACATCTAATGAAAACGGGATATGAAGTGGATGCAATGAGAGCATTCGAAATAATCATTAGGTTCTCTAATTCTATATAATCAAAATTTGAGGGAGCCATAGCAACTAAAAGGCTTAAATCTAGCCTATGTACTCAAATAAAGTAACTGAATAAACTAAGTAGCCAAAGAATTTCGACCTTTCTTTTTAATCTTATCCAATTTATTATAATGATAAACTAGTGAGTTCAGGCTTTTCTCAGCTTAGTTTATTTCTTTCTAAACCTTTTAGATACGTTATTACATTATGAAAATTATTTTAGAATATTCTAGAACTGTCACATTTAGCATTAGAAAAATCCTGTTAAAACTTTATTCCTAACCATATTAACATTCATATCCTATGCATCTTGTTACTTACTGTTGGACAATTCATTTTCAAACCTAAAATTATGTTAATAGTTTAAAGTAATCAAACTTGATAACTTGTATTTAATTAAAGAGAAAACAATGAAATACAATGGATTCACCCTATTCTTCAGTCAGTTTCGTTATTTTATTTAAACACGATAAATTTAAATAGAGCAAGAACAACGAACGTAACATAATTACCTGAATTCTTTTTTATTTCATGGTTTCCCAACAGTTGCCTATAACCTAAACACAATAGTATTAATCATTAAAAATCAGTCTATATACTTGATATCACAATATTGGAAATGTTCTTATGGATAAGGATTAATAAAACGATAATAAATATGAAGGAATTATAAAATTTATTCAAATGGTAGGATATTTATATCAAATGACATAAACCAAACTTATTCAAAAAGATACTGTTGTCATCTTTGTTTTGTTCTGGTGATCTTTTCTCCTAGTTAAAAATTAATTCAAATAACACATAGTGTCAATGAATTAAATTAAAGAGGATTCAACGAAGAGAATTTCCTTCCCAATGATTTACTTTTATAGGCATATATTTACCACATAACTATAAATACGAATGTATAGCTTAAGTACATGATTTTGTCAAAAAGAAAATTTTCTTCGCTGAATTCTGTTTGTTTTTGTTTAGTTTTGTCTTTCTTTCTTTGCATACTTTAAGTTTTATCTGAGATTCAAACATTTTTATCTTATAGTCAATCCATTCTTTGTTGTTGTGATTACTCAACTTTGAGTGTCAATCTTTTCTTCTACAATTTTCATATTACTTACCGTACAAATATTCTACCATTTGAATAAATTTTATAATTCCTTCATATTTATTACCGTTTTATTAATCCTTATCCATAAGAACATTTCCAATATTGTGATTTTAAGTATGTAGACTGATTTTTAATGATGAATACTATTGTATCGGAGGGGGTTTTGTGGAGATTGTAGTAATTTCAACAGTTGAGATCATGAGTCAATTGAGGAGTCCCACAATAGGACGAAACGGCCGTCCAGTGCTTCCAGATTTTTCATGGTGATCTAGCTTCAATCGACTCATGATCTCAACTGTTGAAATTAATGCTATTGTGTTTATCATTTCTATGTACCATTCGTATTCTGTTCTGCTTACTGTATTTATTGTTTTTCGGATGTGGACACCCTGATTTGTATTTATGTTCTCAGGGGTAGATCTTTATAATAGTCTTACCCTCAAAAAAGCTAATGTATATATTCATATTAACTAAGCCCTTGAACTGACCTATTTAGCAGAATTATTCTAGTCCGAAATAATTCAACTATATATTCATAAATATCATCATGTTTGCATAAATTTCCATATATGATTGATTGAATATGGCAGCCTATGTATTTCTCTAACACTCTTAAACGCTTGATGACTCATCTGCATACGCATACATATTTGCTTGTTAAACTATTTTCACTAAATCACCTTTTTTACTTTGTGCTTTGTCGCTTAATTTGAACCGCGTTTAGAATAACCTGTTCCGATCACTTCGTTTTGGCTTCTGGAAACTATACACTGTTGGGAGTGATAGTAATAACGGTTCTCCAGTCGATTGATATACGAAATATAGGATTACCGATATGTAGCTACAATAAGAACATTTACTATCTTGTTTTTATTATTTGTATTTGTTATAGACTGAATTAGATGGTCGGTGATAAAAAAAGACAATACCCTGAATTTAGGCTTTTATACTCTCCGTAAACTCTAAACTTCAGGGATAAAAGTTCACTCAACGATGCAAGTGACTGGTGTGGAATAGTAACATACTGGCTGAAGCAGTAAGTAACAGATTCTAACTTCACTTATTCTACTTTGGTGGTTCATTACTGAATGCAAAAACACGTACATGATCACAATAAATTAAATCAATACATAGAAATGAATACGTAGAAAAATGAAGTAAACAATAAATTGCAAAACCTACCTGCGTTACAATCGCATCGATAGCTTTGAATACTGCTACACGCACCTCAAAAAATGGTTGAGTTGCAAGAGAATAAAGGCGTTTCAGTAGTGGAGCAATTAATAATTCTTTATCTTCAACTGAATTGGAATTTGTTGTATCAATGCTTTTTTGACAAGAAATTATTGCCCAGTTAAGAGAAAGTACAGCATCGGCAAATAAGCCTTCTGAATCTATCCCATCAGGTCGACGTAGAAGAAAACTATAGCATTCGACAGCTCTAGTGCATATCTCAGTTGGTGAATTGGAAATAAATACAAAAAGCTTGTTCAAAACACTATCAAATGAGCCACCTTTAGCTAAAATCAAAATTGAACGAATCTTAAAGTTTTGATCAATAAACAGATGAGCATAGTAAATGAACTGTGTTTACAAATAGATAATTTATTGTCACACCCCTAGTTCACATACTAATGATCAAATTATCACTTAACTTATCTACGATATGGTGTAAAAATGTTTTAATTTTTTCCCAGACAAAAACGATAGTAGTGAGTAATTGTTTTTAAAAATGACGTTTCTAGCTCAAACGTTTTGACTAGAATAACCTGAGAAGAATTTACCATATGATCCATTGATTTCTAAAGTTTAAATACTTAGACGATTGGCACGAAATCAGTCATCATGAATGATACTTACGATTGTATAATAATAGAAATTAGTATTCAAGTTGGAAAGGAACCCCAATGGGTAATGGTATTCTCAATGTGACATTAACCCTGTATTTATCTCTCTAGGTATTAAAGTAAAAATATTTCGAATGGATTTGATTCGAATTATTAAAAATGTTTGTAACTTAAATATGTGATACAAAGGGGTATTTATTAAAAAATTTACTTACAGTAACGAAAGATACAGTATTGAATAGAGCGACTACTATCATAACTGACACGAAAACAAATAGTACTGTACAGTAAAACTAACAGTTAACGTCGAGGAATGAAGTGAGACAAAATAACTTTAATCATACTCACCAAATAACTTATCTAAGGTAATCCGACCTGTTGGTGTAGTCGCTATACAGCTAATAGATTCAAATGCCACCATAGAAATACTGATAGCATTATTATCGACCGCATCTGATAATACATTCTTAAACCTTCCATCGCTTTTTGACCCTAACCAATGGTCAGGGTCTCGCTTAGCAAGACTACCAAAAAATCCAATGTATCCTTTTAAGAAAAATAAAATTGATAGACTATTACTTTAAAAAAAAGCGAATAATCACAAATTACATGAGACCAAAAACGATAATACATAGTACAGGTTGCATAAAAGACGGTGATAGGGATTCATATAAAACATTTACGTCTGATATAAAACAAGGATTATATTATGCAGAAGTTTAAATATGGTTCGTGTTGCCTGGATGATGTTTTGTTAAGACTGCATCTTACAGCCACAAAAAGGCAGATCAAATTACTGCACAGCATACACGCCTTTTGTTGGGATACAAATATTCCGCCTGAGCCACAAGTGGAACATGTTGCTGAAAACCAAGCTAGTTTCTGAATTTATGCATAAATTTTGTCAGACACCAACTCACTAGAAGTGATAAGACTTCCAAAATAATAATAAATGACAATTTTATACCCTATGATCAATCTAGGAGATGACATAAACCAGTCCTGAAGCAATATTTTGAACTAAGAGAAAGAGAAACGCGTCCCGAACATGTTCGGATTATATCTCAGGACAATCAGAAGGCTACAGTTTATCAGTAACCTTACCAAATACGAATATCCTATTTACGTATTCTAAGCCGATTAAGGATGAATCTGTGGAAAGTTAGACGAAGAAAGTGTTATCCCCGAAGGATTGCTTATGAAGAAGTTAAATAAAAATTCTGATAGTGAATTATCCTATCGAACACCACTTAAAGTTACAATTTGAAAGATATCTCTAAATCGACCAATGGTCTTAGTATATATATACAATCTCTATTTTATGTATGTCTTCATAAATTAGTTGGTGAAGACATGAACCTTTATCTCTTATGGATGCAACGAAACAAAACGCCAAAAGGTGTTACTAACAGTAGGACAGAAGTAGGTTGAAAATGCGTTAGTGGTTTCTATAGCAAACCATTGCATCAAAACATGATGTCGTCAACTGTTGACATAGGTCTCATTGAGAGGTTTAGATTCCAAGTGAAGTAATCAAAACCTAAGGTTGGTGGCTTTTAGTCCAACAACCGTAAATCCGCCAGCTACAGTTATTATTCTATATATCCTGAACATAATATTATTAGACAAGTTTTGACCATAATTTTATTCGTCTCTTCTAACGTTTGTTCTTGTTGTTCTCCATTTTACTGCTTGTTAGCAGTAAGATTTTCATTTTGTTTGTTTATTTATATTGAACTGATTTAAGGTGTGATAACTCACACTGATACATATTTTCTCTACGTTTAACGTCTCACATGTGTATGCTTGTCTGTAGGATCTCTTACTATCTTTTTCCTAACACTATTCGTCTTTCCACAACTTATGTAGGTGGATTAGATAGGTTATAATCGCACTAATAAAGTTTGGGCAGTGTGGTCACGATAAGAGAACTATTTGCGTTCTTGCAAAATCTAGAGGTAAATAAATAGGATTCTGTATCGCAAATGCGTTGATTTTAATACTGATGAAGCTATTAATTATTTTAATAGTTGTGTTGATTATGTAGAAATTAGATATACTCTCTAAGTTCTTGGATTTTCTGAAAAAACCATATATTCAAACTCACCTGGAAGTAGTAAATCACCTAATGGATCCGAAGCAGAAGAATACAAATCGTCCAATAATCTAGAGAACACACCTTGCCTATTCAGAAAGTGATAACCCGTCTCTGAAACAGTCAACAATTTCCCTAATTCTAACCAGTTCAAGCGGACTAGAGGATCTCTTGAATTTAAACCATCCAAAATAGGTTGAAACAAACCAGAATTTTCAACGTCTTTGAACAATTCAGGTTGTTTGGAAACTAGATGTACAGCAAACTTAATTCACAAAATAAAGTTTTTGACAACTTACTTCAGAAACTCTTATTAAATGCTCAGATTTAGAACACAGTGGATTTAATGCACCGACTACATTGGGCCCTAAAACGCTTTTTAAACCAAGAGGACATTTTGTAGCTAAATTATACGATTAGAATGTTTCATTTTTTGTTGTTACCCAAAGTTATCAGGAAATTTTGGGCTTCCATAGATAAAGAAAGTTTTTCATGAAGAACTAATCTAGCTATTGACTTTAAGATGCATTCCGGTAGATTGTCTACTGAACAACTAGGTTCAACTACACCAGCTCTTAGCTTCATGCATAACTGAAATGTAAGGATGCGATTACCCTTTTCAAAATAAACTCAATCAAATCGAGTTTCGTCGATCCAAGTATTAAAAGCAGCTCTTCTTGGTGAGATTGAACAAAGTCAAATAAAGGTATGAGGGAGAATACAATGGAAGCTAATTTAATCGCAATTTGAGCAGACTGTCTAAAAGCAAAACGATTATTGCGTAGTAGATTAAACAAACTTGTCATGTAAATCAATCGACATCAATGCTTTTAAAATATCACATTTTTGAAAAACAGAACTCAGTTCTGTAGTTGTCAGATTAGATAGAATCAAACAAATGCGTTCATAATCCTCCAAATTTCCATTTCCATTCGAAACTTTTGAAACAAGATCAAATACTTCATCAGGAATTGCCATTATGGAAGTAACTGTCTTCTCTGAAATGAAAGAGCACAGTATACAATGACTTTTCTTTATGTCAAACGTAATAAAAAGTAAAGGATTCGAAAAATACACCCTACGCTACAAACTGCCAATCAACATCAAGATGTACATGAATAAAACTATTATACATACTTCATACTTTATTGTGACTTGGTTTTTATATTTTTATTTCCTTATTTTCAACTTACTTTTATTGATAGTCACTTCTTTGTTTATTTTCCCCTAATTTGCTGAAGGAAATTGTAGTAATTCGTACCAGTATACTACTGAATCAGGTCACAAGTCATTATTAATCAGATAAGCATGAATCACAAAAATTTATGACTGATCAAGAACACTTCATGTGGATTAGAGTAACATTACTTGAGCTGAACGGGTACCATTCAAGTGATGAAAAAATCGTTTGACACATTAAAAAGTCGGTAAGGTATGACATAGGATTATATTAAAGAAACATCAGACAGTTGATTATTGCACAGAATTTGATATAAATTGTGACATATTTGGGATATGAAGAAGATGAATATCAAATGTATCATGATTCTTTCCCATATAGCAAACCTTTTTTGGTAACAACGACGACACTGAAGTTGCACAATATTAAATGGCGATTAGTAATCATATGTAATGTTGTTTGAACCATATACATGCAGTTTCCTCACAAAAAAGATAGAAAATAGTATATACAGTCATTCTTGACGGGGATTGTCAAAAAGTTTGAGCACTTCTGTAATAGCTGCTTTAATAATATGCTCAAATTCGCTACGTACTGAAGGAGTATAACAAGGAAGATAGAAAATGACTGTAATCTACACACTTATTAAATTATCCGAACAGAGGATAAAGGAGAGGAATTGAGAATTCTCAACTGGAATACCCAAAAGAATGTAAGCGAAAACACAAATAAATAAAAACATAATCGCGATATCGAACTACAAACAGCGTCGGGTCATACGAAAATAGGAAAAGATATACAAAAAGTATGCATGGGTTGATCAAACACTAAACCAGAAAATATCTTTAGATGTTAGTACGTTAAGCTCTAAAAAAGCTGAATCTGCAGGATGTGAGTACGCTAGTTAGTGAACACATACATATTTGTGTACTCAGTTGAATCAACTGTGGTACATGGCACTTACCTCCAAATGCCCTGATACGACCGAAGGTGAAGAGAGTCTGCTCTCCTTCTCGAAATGTACTCACATAGCCACGTGCATACAGCAACTGTCAGGGAAGTCCTACTCATTGCATTCTCGAGGCGAGGTTGTTGTTTACAAAATCAAGAGAACGAAAAGCGAATGTCCGGCATTTTCACCAGATTAGTGGACACGCAGGATCCACCTAGCGGAGTTGGAAAACCCTGATTCCAAACCAATGGTGCACATGGGCTTCGGGATCATATGGAAACAAACGGCGTATGAGACTATTGTTGGTCACTGGCCACCATGGGACTGCATCGCCTAACGTTGCTCCACTGCTTTGTGGATTAAACCTTTAGGTCAAAGGCTCGGGAAGTGGTTCCCTGAAATACCCACCGCTTCAGTTTGGGGGCCCGGGCAGTATCACAGTCGTCACACAAATCAATGATAATTACGATTGGAAAATTTTCTATTGCTTCAACGCTCGCTCGGACAAATCCTATTCACGATCATATGATAACATTCGTATTTATTTCTTTTATACTAAGGCATTTATGTATTCCCCTTTATTTTCGTTTTGCAAATTTTATTTTTAACCGATACAGCAGCTCGCCCATGGTGGAAACCCTGTCCTAACTAAACAATCTCAAGTCACTGACTAGTCAGAAGTTGAATGCTACCACCGAATACGAATCCTGAAACCACGTGCACCATTCAAACTGGCTGCCTTCAACGTTCGCACACTTATGTAGGTCGGACAACAGATAGAGCTGCCTATGTCTTCGGAAAGTCTTAATATCGACGTCTGCCCTCTATCCGAGACCCGTATTCAAGACTCTGGTGAAGTACTACAAATTCGCTCTTCATCTGTCGCTTCGAAAAGCTTGTCTTACGTGCACTTATCCGGGGACCCTGTGACATCTTCGTCTGGTCTTTCTGGCGTTGGTGTCGTGCTAAGCTCTGGAGCTGAGGCAGCACTAATCGATTGGATACCCATTAACAGTCGGTGCTAATGAGGTAGAAGCAGCAGCCGCATCTGCTAACTACCGGAAGCTCTTACAACCCATCCGAGCCACTGACAGCAAGAAGTCTGGTGTGAGCGAAATAATCTGTGAGGATGATGGGATGCCAATAAATAACATCCATCGACGTCTTGGACTATGGGCAGAATTTTTCGAAGGGCAGTTCAACTGGCCTGCTGCTTCGGCAACATCGGTCAGACTGTCCTGCTCTCCATGGCCGGTGACGACTGATCCACCAAACGAGGAGGAAGTCCGCAAGGAACTCCAACTCTTGAAGCGTTACAAATCACCTGGCCCAGATGACTTACCTCCGGCTCTTTTTAAAGATGGCGGTGACTTTTTGACTAAGGAATTGACGACGTTGTTTACAAAGGTTTGGGAACTAGAGAGTGTACCAACGTCATGGAATGAGTCGATACTTGTCCCTATCTTTAAAAAGGGTTCACGTCGTTCCTGTAACAACTATCGGGGGATAAGTCTACTTCCGATTGCGTCCAAGCTATTGGCTTCCGTCATTCTTCGTAGGTTGTTCAAAACCCGAGAAAGATTGACTCGCGAGGAGCAGGCTGGGTTTCGTTCTGGTCGAGGATGTATTGATCATATCTTCACCCTCCGCCAAATGTTAGAACACCGCCATACTTATCAAAGGCCAACAATCGTAGTGTTTCTTGACATCAGGGCTGCCTTCGATTCGTTGGACAGAACTGTTCTCTGGGATTGTCTATTGAAGAAGGGTGTGCCTGAGAAGTTTATTAACATCCTAAAAGCCCTATATAAAAACACCTCAGGTAGAGTGAGAGCATACACCCACCTCTCTCCACTGTTCCATTCGAGCAGTGGGGTTAGGCATCTTTGACCAATCTCACCATTCCTCTTCAACTTGGTCATCGATGACGTGATGAATACACCTATGATGGATGTAAATAACGGTGGTGCGGATCTGTCGTCTAGAGAAAAACCTGTCGACCTTGAATATGCAGATGACATCGTCTTGCGGTACGACGATATCCAAGTCATGAAATACGTGCTTATTTAGTTGGCAATCAGAGTCCGTAAGTATGGCATGTTCTTTCTACCTTCTAAGTGCAGAGTACTTTTACACAACTAGCAAGACCCTGTACACGCACTCACCACTGCTAGTAAGCAGGTAGATTTATGCTAACCTGGGCAATCTCTGGCTCCTTCCTGATGTCAGGTTGCCTGTTGAAAGTCAGATCCATAATGTCTCGGTGAGAGCAGTTTTGCTCTATGCTTGTGAAACCTGGTCTCTTCGAGTTGAGGATGTTAGACGACTCTCTCTGCTTCATCATCGTTGTCTCCGAAGGATTGTTGACATCCAGTGGCAACACCATGTTGATAACGCAGAGGTTCGACAACACATGTTCGGGGCACAGCGGTGAAAATTCAATTGGTCACCATTTTGAAACACTGACTTTGATTACTTGGACATGTTCTACGAATGTCGTCCCAGGGAATTCCACGTCGTGCATTAGTTGCCGACGCTGGGACTGGTTGGAAAGAGCGGAGGTGGTCAGTACATGACATGGTGTCGTGGTATGAAAGAAAGCTGCACAAGACTGGTTTCTGTTGATCCTGTACGAATTCCTCCGTGGTTAAGGTGCAGCACAGTGGCTTCAGACGTTTCCATGAATGACTTAGAATAGAAACCAGTGGAGACCCTGCTGTAAATTTATATTACTTTTTATATAAATATGAACGTAACTTCTTTAACTGAATGAATTTTTCTGGTTACATTTTTTCTAACTGAACTGTTTCTCCTACCATTATTATTATTTCACTCTCATACACTTATTTCTATCCATTGGTGTTTCTTTATTATGCTTTCCTTTATTTCTTTACAATCTCACTTTCTTTGTGTGGTGCATGTATATTTGGTTCCCTCTTGTACCGGTGTTTATGTGTTCAAATAATAATAATAATAATAATAATAATAATAATAATAATAATAATAATATTCGACTTCAACGTTGTGTTAATTTAATTAGTTGACAGGAGATAGGTTTTACCATGCCAGGCAGGTCGATTGGAGAACGGTAAGACTAAAAGCAGCAACTCAAGGTCTGAGGGCGAAGCCGTACTGCTGACTGTAGAGGGGTGTGACAGCAGGAAGGTGCTTCCCTTTGGACAACCAGGATCTGCAGCGATGCTGCCTTCCCACAAGGAGGGGTGGGGTTAGAAAAGGTCGACCCTAAACATGTCACACCTTACCTCACAGATTTCCGTCTCCGGCGGTAAGGCTCTTTGAAGAACGGAGCTAACACATTAAAAGCCTTCAACGAAAAGGCAGTGCGCGACCGGCCCCAAGTAGTTGTCCCTTGGGCTCTGCGGTCACGCTCCCAGGTCGTCAGGGCCAACATTAATCCAACTTCCTTTTCAGGTTCCTCAAGAAATACCCTTCCACGGTGTGGGCAGCCGGGAAGTGATATCAGCCCTCATACCCGTAACAACACACGAGACTGTCGCTCATTCTGGAGCACATGCTTAGATTCAGATCATGCTCTAGTACGAGCGCGTATTTGCTTGCGTCTTACTGGACGTAGGAAAGACGCTGCAAGGAAACCTCTTAGGGCCCTACTTAATGATAGTCAAGCTAAGAGTATATTTCAGGAACAACTAGGAAAACAGTTAGGCAGCCATGTATGTGATGCCCACCCCGAGGCAGCATGGAATGATATCCGAAAAGCTGTGGAAACAGCAGTGATATCTGCTAGTAAGGTAACCCGTAAGGTTAGGGAGCAACACTGGATCTCAGCAGCATCTATCGCACTGATAGATGCTCGGAAACTCATTCCACCTGGCTCTGAACATAAT